CCACGTTTCTCTACGTAGTGAGGTGGCCTTAGTTTGTGCAGGTACTTCCTGTAATACTCATATTTTGGTTTATATAATTAAAATGCAACATGACTGTGACAACCACTATGATAAAAGTTCTGGAAACAAGATTAACTCTCGACCAATATAAAGCTCAATAAACTCCAACTCTAAATGATTGTTCAAGTCTATTAATCAATGTTTCATGAGCTTTTTAAAAATATATTTGGTTGCTGCAGGGTCTCACTCATAGTAATCCCCCTGTTTTCAGCCTGCCCAGCACTGGGATTACAGACGTGCACCACCATGCCTGGACTCTGGCCGGCTCAGCCCGCCCTCGGGTGGAGCTGGCGTGGCGTGTGGCATGTAGGACTGCACTGCGGTCCCAGCACCTGCCTAAGCTTGCCTAAGCAGGCGCTTCAGTCCGTTGAGCTATCTCACCAGCCCATGAGGTTTTCAAGGAAATTAACATGGTGAGTTTAACCTAGTACCATCAACGTCCTATCAACGGGCACTACACGTTTCTAGGCCTGTGCTGTCCAGTGTGTGGCCGCTGGCTGCCTGTGCTCTGGAGCACTTGAGACAGATGTCAAGGTATGTACCTTGCACCAGGGTCTAGAGGTGTCCTAAGAACAGGAGCATGCAAAATAATGTGTTAGCAATTTCTATGTTGATAATATCTTTAAATAAGATTTTTTGAAACACTGTATTAAGGGCTGGGGAGATAGTTCAGCAGTCTAAGCGCCTGCCTGGTGAGTGCAAGGACCTGGGTTTGATCCCCAGTTCCAGCCTGCTGGCTGTGGAGTGGTGGTGCACACCTATAATCTCAGCACTGGGGAGGCTGAGACAGGACAATCACTATGCATCTGAGCTGCATAGTGAGACCCTGTAGCAAATACATAAATAAAAGGTTAAAAAAAGAAATACTGGATTAAATTAAGCTTTGTATTAAAATTAATTTCATTTACTACTCTTATTAAAAATGTGGCTACTAGCTTATTTAAATGGTGTTCTCTCATTGTGCCCCTGCTGGGTAGCACTGTGTAGACCGGAGGCATCTCTCACTCCACAGTGCTGCATCTGAGGCTCTGCTGAATGCAACGGGCCACACTCTCTCTCATCACTGCTACCGGAATCAAAGGCATAGAGCGGCACGGCTTACAGCGTCCCCAAGCGGACGGTGGCCCTACATCAGGGATTGGCAGGCTGATGCCACTGGTACGGCCTATGAGCTAAAAACAATTTTCACATATTTAAATAGCTGGAAAAAATAACAAGATTAATATTGTGGACATGTGAGCATTAAATTCAGTTTTAGCATCTATAAATACAGTATTATGGGCACACAGCCATGTTCAGTTTGTGTGTCAGCCAGGCCTGCCCCATGCCAGCAGGGCACAGCCCATGGGCAGCGGCAGAGAGCACGGCACCCGCGCAGCCCGCACCATTCACTGCGGAGCCACTGGCTGAGAGCTCGCACGTGGCTTGTCGTCCCTGTGGCCCGTGGGACATGTCAGCCACTGCCTGCATCTCCAGGGCCTGCGCAGACGATGAAGAGGGAATACTGCGTCTCCATTCCTCCCCCAGCCAGGGACCAGTGCGAACTTCAAACTACTTCACCTGCTTGGGCTACATATCCCGGACTCAGAAGGCACCTGGAATGCAGCTCCTGGACAGTTTCTACCCAGACAGGATCCTAGGCACCTGGGGACCTGCTGGCATGCAGAGGTCAGGGTGCGCTCGGCGCCCGCGGTCCCCTCTCCCACCCTGGAGCCCCCATCTCTGAGGGGAGCTGGCCTTCCCTGCCCCGCCAGTGTCTAGCAGAGGGGGAGACTCTGCGCCTTCTCCTTGGCAGGGCCATTCTGGCCCCCGTCCCTCTGGTGCCTACCTCGGTAGAGCCCGTGAATGCAATCTTGTCTATGCCAACGTGAGAAGCAATCGCCGCGCCGGCTGTCGGCCCATATCCAGGCAGGATATTGATCACTCCAGGTGGAAAGCCCGCCTAGAAATCAAATGAAACTGAAAATGGGAGGCACTGTGCCTTGCGGACACTGACGCATCCCCTCAGAAGGGATGCGCTCGGAGGGGTAAGGAGGTAGCTCCACCGCATAAGCGCTTGCCTGGCCGGCGCAAGGACCTCAGCTGGATCCAGTAAGAAGGAACACCCTCAGGGCCCACGGACGCATCGGCCTGGGGCCGCTGGTCCTACCTCCTTGATCAGGGCTCCCATGTAGAGCGCGCTGAGCGGCGTCTGCTCCGCCGGCTTTATCACCACGGTGTTGCCGCAGCACAGAGCCGGAGCGATCTTCCAGGCAAACATGAGCAGCGGGAAGTTCCACTGGGAAAGCAGACTGGGGTCACGGCGGGAAAGCGCTCTGGTGCTGCTTTCTTTGAACTGAATTCTCAGATTTCTCAGCCTCATCCTCCAAGCCCGCCCCCCAAAGAAGTACCCTGATGCAAAGGCGGCTTTGCATTGTCTTGGGCTGCCATTGCTCTTGTCTGCTACTAGCCTTAAAGTTAGGTCCCATTAGGTTCTTGTGTGTTAAATGCTTTTCTTGAATCCGGCCTTTGTACAGCAGGATTTTTCCTATTTGCTGTGAGAGCTGTTTGTGGAAGTGAAAAGAAGATTCGAGCTGCACACTGTATTTATTTCAGTGTGTACTCCAGGGTCCTGGGGTGCCTTCTCTCACACATACAGTCACAAAACCCCCACTAGTCCAATAAACAGGTATCTACGGGCAAGTATTTCAAATCATCTCCTTCCTACTGCAAAACAGGGTGACAAGACTGAAACACATCGACACGCGTGTGTGAATGTGGCCAGGTGCTCTTGGTGGACTTGACCAGGATAGGTGCTTGCGTGGCCGTCCACTCGGGCATGAGCCGCGCTGCTATCAGGTGTCATTGATAATTTCACAAGAAGGAAAGCAGCAGCCCTTGTCCCTGAGCACGGGGCTCGGCCTGACGCGTCTCAGCTGCCAGCCCTGCAGGGTTCCCACCAGCTCTGGCAAGCCTGCAAAAATATACAAGTGTCTCGCCTTCACCAAACACCCAATTTCTTTTCCCTTTGGTTGTTTATAAACTTGAGAGTCCTCAGTGATCTTTCCGTTCCATCTGCACTGTATAAATCTCAGAGTAATTGAGCCAGAGCTGGCTGACAAGCGGCCTTCGTCCTGTCAGAGAAGCTGCAGCTCGGAGCCTGGGCAGGCTGAGGGGGTGGGTCTGGGTCCCCAGGGAGGTGACAGATCTTACCCTGGGCAGCTCCAAGGGGATTCCAGGGGTAGGAGCAGAAGGACTCCAACAACCAAACCACTGGCTTCCCCTTCCAGTCACTAAACAGCTTCATAGTTGCCTGGGGCTTATTGATCACTTGAATAAATACTCGTAACACCGTCAGACTTTACTCCCTAGCCAAGGACTGTCCTCCGCCACCTCCTGCCTTCTGAAGAGAGAAGTCCTCGTGTCTCCACTGCATGTCTAAGCTGAGCCTTTCCTTGCAGTCTCCATCGGAACTATTAGCTAGCACTGTTCGCAGGTTCCCTGGTGTTTTCTGTCGTGACAAGGGTGTGGGTGACAGAAGAGCAAAGGGCGATCTACTGTTCCAAGCCAAACGCTCAGGACGACAGCTACTCCCTTTACAAGGCGATCACCGGCCCGGCATGGTTTCAATTACGGCCACGGCGTTAATCGCACCACTGTGCCTTCTGTAGCCTCCTTATCGAGAATCTTGTGGAAAGATGCAGTGGGAAGGAGCACTGAAGGGCCATATGAAATCATATGCCCGGAAAGACGGTGAGTCAGAGCTCTAAAAACTAAACAAGCAGATACAACAAAGCATCGGCTTTCCGTGAGCGGGACTGACACCCATAATCAAGGGCAGGTCGTTAATACGCTGGGCTCGGCGGTGCTTAGTTGACACAGC